CCTGCGTATAAAGTTGTAACGGAAATATATCAGATTTCGCTGCTTTTAACGTTTCTCAGCACTCTTGTTTGAATATATTTGGCGCTGGTCGTTCCTATATTATAAGATGTAGAAGTTTGATCTTTTATTAGAAGGCTCAGTTTGTTAAAACAAGCGCTGCGATTTTTGATGCTGGGTCTCGTTTTATGGCTGAAGCGGAAAAGCCAGTTAGCGTTAAAGCAATGGAACGGAAAAAACATAGTGTTGGTCGCTACCTTACAGGGCCAGTAGCCACCACAATCTCAACTACGCTCAGGAAATGGTCTTATGCTACATATTATCGTCACAGTCCCTACCAGGTTACGAAACTGATTTTTTATTTTTTCTGATTGACTAGGTTTTTTTTCAAGCTTATAAACCGCCCTTTGACAGTTGGTTTGTTTAGGAGGCTCTTTTGCGCCAACTAGTTTCATGTAGGCATCGTTTGGCTCAGCTCACCGGTTTCAAGAGCTATGCTCATCGCGCTCAACTTTTTTCTATACTTGGAAACTATGACAACGCACACGAGTTTTTGACTACAACTATAAAGGTTAGTAAAGCAAGTTTCTTTCATTTAAGCTCTAGTGCTATGCAGTTATAGGCTTTTTGTTCACTGATTGTATTCGATTGCCAATCTCTGTTACAGATTCGTTGCTAGTGAAAAAACCTTTTTTTTTTCTTTTATAGGCATGTAAGCCTGCTGCTGAACGTGAACTGGCTGTTTTAATGGATGTATTAGCTCAGTGTGATTCCGATGCTGAGAAAATTGGAGAGTGGGACTTGCAGTTTTTATGTTCCGTTTATCGGAGGAAGGTTTATGGCGATCTTCATGGTTTGAGAAGGCTAGTTTTCTCATTTGCATGCACGGTTTTAACTAAGTTTTTTACCTTTTCTTCTATCAACTAAAATGCTTGTTGAATTTAGGTTTTTTTCACTTCAAAATCTCATAAATGGTTTGGCATATTTAGCGGAAGCTTGGTACGAATTGAAATTTGTTGTGACGAAACCATCTGAGGAGGAAATTTGGCCGGGAAACATCATCAAACTGGTTTTTTCATAAGCTGTATTTTAAGTCAAATGGGAGCAGTATTATTTTTACCAAATTTTGATGAGTTTTTTAGGATGTGCGAGACAGTGATAATGAAACCCTGGGCTTTATTTATTTAGATATCGAAAATAGGCCCACAAAAAATATAGGCCCTTGTCATTTTACCGTTCGGTGCTCAAAATTGGTTCGTTTATTAATTGAAAATCATGTCAGTGTTTTTGCTCCAGACATCACCATGACTTGACTCTTGCAGCTGGACGACGGTAGAACATTTCAAACACCAGTTGTTGTAGTATCAGTGCCATTTGCGAGTGAATTTCAAGAACTTAACCAGGTTTATTTGAATGTGCAGCAGGCCGAAAATTTCTTTCATGAACTTGGCCATGCTTTACATTCCATACTGGGTCGAACAGAGTACCAACATGTTGCAGGTTTGAAATTTAAATCGATTTTCTGAATAGCGAAAACTTTCTTGGTTGCGACGTGTCTATTTGCAGTGAAGAATAAAACCTTTCATATTACCTGTCTGGTAAATTTTGACGCATTTGAAATGAATATCGCTATTCTGCTTTCAACCTCTAATGGTTGGGTGCTAATAATTACGAAATGTCACACTTGCAGGCACAAGATGCCCAACTGACATGGCGGAAGTACCTTCCAACTTGATGGAGTATGCCTTTAATGACATAAATGTATTAAGAAAAATTGGAGTGGATGATGAAGGGACGCCTATAGGCATTGATGAGGCAGCTTCAATGATTGCATCTCGGTTCGCATTCAGCTCTCTTGACATATTGCAGCAAGTAAACTTTAAATCTCTTGTATTTATTACGCATTACATATTTCGTGACACATAGTATGGTTCAAGAAGCTCATTTATATTTTTATAAAGAAACTGCTTGGTTTAGCAAATGAATTGAACTGAATAAATAGACGAAGTTACTTAGGCAGTCTATAGTTTGTTTGATTTGGAACTGCATGGCCACAACGCTGAAGGGATTATTGGCGGTAAATTTACAACCACTGATCTCTTTTCATCCATTTGGTATACTGTCTTGCCTAATGTTGCCCTCGCTCCTAATTCAGCTTATCATCATAGGTTTTTCTTATAATATTTTTTCCTTTATTACTTGACAAGCTAATTGTCAAAATTTTCGAAACAAAATCGTGAATTGAGCGCTGTCTAGTTGCAACCAAAAAAAATCTTTATCTACCTTCAACTTTAGAACGAATGTTGTTGATTTTTAACGCTGTTAGAGGAATTACCAGAACAGTATTGTCCTTTCTTCCCCTTAATTTCTTTATGAAGCCGGTATGAAGTTCTTTGAAGGTTTAGGCCTTGACTTTCCAGTTCCTTGTTTTGCAGCTTTCCATAAATTATATTTCTAGGCTTTCAGGTTCACTCACCTAATACCCTATGGTGCTAAATACTATTCCTATATAGTTGCAAGAGCTGCGGCTTCACTGATATGGAATTCTCGTTTTCACGACGATCCGTTCTCGAAAAAGGGCGGAAAAATTTGGGCTAAAGTTTCTTCTTCTTTCTTGACGAATTTCTTTTTCTCTTTTCATATATCTTCTACCGTTTGACACTTTCTAGGTACAGTCATATGGCGGCTCTATGCCATCAATCAACCTTCTGGAGATGGCACTTGGGTATGTTCCTACGAATAAGGTTCTTTCGGACGCTATTAGTATGGAAGCAAACTATTCTTGTCAAGATACAGCGGTTAGTTTATAGGTCACTTGTTGAGTGATGAAAAGATGTATATATTTTCAGTTGATTAACAACTTATTGGACGGAAAATATTGTTCTACTTTGCTTTGCATTATATGAGAGTGTACAGGCTGTTACTTTCAGACGAGATGCTAACTAATTAGTTGTTGCAATAGGTTTTGAAATTACTATTTGGTTATGATGTTGTCAAACCTTTTTGTACATATCAGTTGCTTTGTTAGAGTTTTATATTTTTCAGTTTTGCCAGAGTACCGACTGAGAAATAATGTGACTGGTTTTGTTACTTTTTTGGCTTAACAACATGTGGATTTAGTTTCAAACGGGTAGCTGTATTTACTTCCTTGATTAGATTTGAGTTGTGTAGGTGTTAGCTGAGAATATTGTATCCAGATATCGTTTTTCAGGAATGTTATTTTCTGTTAGGACTTAAAGAAGTCTGCCAATAAAGTGGTTATCACCCTATTAGGAGAACTCTTTTAATTTTTTGTTTGATACTGAGGCTACAACGTTTACTGTGAAAGGAGCCACTAGGTGTCTTTGGGGACGATATTTGCTGACACGTTTTGAAAATGTCTGCTGGTGAGGGCAGTGGCGAATGTGATCACGAATGATGGTTTACAGAAAATTTGTTTGTTTTTGTCGTGATGCGCAACTTTTGGCTTTCGTTTGGGGGATTTGCTTGTTTCTTGTATTTTTAAATACTATAGAGGTTTGGTGGATAGAAGATCATAGAAAGCGAAGATTAGGCTTACTGTTTTAGTAAATTTAAAAGGAAATCAATTTAAGAAGAGGGGTCGAATATTATACGTATCTTCTTGCAGATGTGAAAACGTAGATGACTTTTAAAATGTAGTAAATTACGACACAATTTTTATGCATATGAAATAAGAGCCTGGTTTGTTATATGAAGATATTTAAAAGTTAATTTAATCAAACTCGTTCTTGAATGAATTCTAAAAAACTTGTGTACATCCTTTAGCAAGATTTAGCGGTAAGTTTGACTTGAATGGATCTCAAAGTGCAGCACAACGCAATTTTAAAAGAAATTTTGTAAAAAAATTTGTTATATTTTTGAATACAAAAGCACGTTTTTGACGGAAATATATTGAACGGTAGGTTAAAATACATATATAGTATACTAGGCGTAAGAACTAACAGTCATGCCCAAGGCTCTGCAAGACTGCCGTTGCATATACTGCTATTTCTGTTCAGAAAAATTTGATGAACATTTTCGGAGAGCAATTTTCACATCGTCAATGGTTTTTTTGGCATTATTTTTGGTATCCTTCGGTACAGATGTATTGGTAGAATTGACCCAATGGACATGCCTAGTCGAGTCGGCAGCGTCCTTTGAAGTTGTCGTTGCTTCTGAGGAACCTTCAGTTGCAAGTTTAGACTGAAATTTAG